CTCCACAACCCCTACAACAGTTATTTCTTTTTTATAATGGCCATTCTGGCAGATGTGAGGTGATATCTCATTGTGGTTTTGATTTGTATTTCCCCAATAGTGATGTTGAACATCTTTTCATATGTCTTTTTACCGTCAGTGTGCCTTTTTTGGAGAAATGTCTATTCAGGTCCTCTGCCTATTTTTAAATCAGATTTGTTAATTTTTGTTTTTTTATTGAGTTGTATGAGTTCTTCATATATTTTGGGTATTAACCCCTTATTGGTATACAATTTGTGGATATCTTTTCCCATTCAGTACCAACTAATAGTTTCCATCACTGACTAGTTGATTCTTCCAATCACTTTCCTTAGAGCTGTTGACTTAGTGGCACAAGATAAATTATAAGTTATCATAGCAACATTTTATTGTTTTGCCACGGCATATTATTATAACCATCTTTCTAGCTTCTAATATTAGTTTCCTTGCTGCTTGCTACTGAACTCCTGAGTAAATGACACATATTTTAGGTTTTAATTATAGCAATACCCTATTTTAAGTTACCAACTTCCATTGTAGTCAGGATCATTAATCCTGACTGATGTAACAAATAACCCCACATCTACTTATTGTAACATTTTATTTCTTGATTACATCACAGTCTTATGTCAGTTAGTCAGCTTTCCTCCAAGTGATGGTGCAGGGATCCAGGCTCCTTCCATCTTGGGATGATACCACTGCAATATATGAGCTCTGTGGTTTCAGGGAAGGTGAAGAGAATGAGAGAAGTCACATTGGATTCTTAATCTCCAGAGCCAGAACTGACACCCATGATTGTTGCTTAAATTCTATTTGCCAGCAGTGATCACATGGCTATCCTAAATGCAACATAGAATGGAAAATGTAGCGGAATATATGGACACTCACACTTTTTGCCGACCTTATTATTTGACCTCTCCTTCCCTATCCTATTAGAATATAAGCTTTACAAAGGCAGGGATTTTTGTCTATTCCCCTCACTTTTGTATCCTCAACATTTAGAAGAAGTTATTTTTTAAGTACCACCACTACAAGAAAAACTGTAATAGTCTAAGGCTATTGGTATAGAGGCAAAAACATGTTATACCCACCTAGCACCTAAGGGCATCACTGAATGACAGCATAGTAAATAAATCATAGCCACTATGAAAATAATGAATCAATTAGGTCTGGTATACTTTCTTTAAAATTATAGAAAAGTTGTAACATATTTGTTATATTTTGGCATTCATATGGGCATCCTTTAGTTATTCCCCAAACTCCCTAGCTGTAATTAGCTATTCATTTCCTTATAATGGTTGATTGATGAAATATGACAGAAATGAACATCTCAAAGCATTATTGTACTTAGTCATTTCTGTTGGAATCTCCCACTTCATGAATGCTGCTATACTGATGAGGCCTCATTTAGAGTATCAGGTTCAATAGGGGATAGGTCCATGTTTTTTGGAGTCTGAAGATTATACAGTTCGGAGCCTTTTTAAGAAAACAATGTATAAGTACAAGACAATATTTAGAATTAAAAAATCACAACAGATTATAAGTTAAAATCCATTCACAAGTATCAGACATCATCAAATATAAAAAATACCATGATTTGAAAATAATTGCCTAATATATTTTATAATACTTTTTCCTACACTTTGCATACTCTCTGTTTTCTTCTTCTTGTAAAAAGGATTCTGTCACATTTTGTTCTACGGCATTAATAGATATCTCAGTCTTTCCATTAGCATAGTTGACTGAAATGTGTTTTTATTATTGATAGTTTAGAAGAGTTTCTTTCCAGTCATTACTGGAAAAGCCATATATATTTTTAAGATTGTTGTCGAATATGGAAAAATTTCTTTCCCATATAATAAGATGTGGGGGGATTTTCCATATTCTTTTTAATGTCAATTTTTTTTAGGTTTTTTTAAAAATTTATTTTATTTGAGAGAAAGAGAGAGTGAGTGAGAGAGAGAAAGCACAAGCAGGGGGAGTGGCAGGCAGAGGGAGTGGGAGAAGCAGGCCTCCCCGCTGAGCAGGGAGCCCGATGTGGGGGCTCGATCCCAGGACCCCGGGATCATGACCTGTGCCGAAGGCAGACGCTTAACCAACTGAGCCACCCAGGCGCCCCTCCATATTCTCGTTCTGGATCCATGTATTTCAAATATTGTCTACCCCATTACCTGTATACTTCCGTGCTGGATCCTGAGGGACACATTCATTTGCTGATAAGGTGTCTGGCCCTCCACCTTATTGTCACAACACCCGGTGATCCAGATGATAGCAGGCCTTCAAGCAGCTGGAATAAATGTCTCTTTAACTATGGGCTGTAATGCCCACAGACCCCACATATTTATTCCACTTAACAAACTCAACTTCCCCTTAGCCAGATCCCCAAAATGCCCACAACCACTCTGATGTTTCAGAAAGGAAGTTAGATGAAAAGACACAGCAGTCTCTTGAGATTAAAATATTTTACTTCCAAAGCCTTATAGAAATATAAAGCCAAGTGAACATACTTCTTGGACTCCTCCTGTGGTGTTAGAAGGAGCTTGAAGTTTAAGTTTCTTGGAATCTGCCTTTGGGTTCAGCTTTGGACATTACACTTCAGGAGGAGTGTCCACAAACTTGAGCATGTCCTTAGTAAGGAGGTAACCTAGTATGGTGAAGAGTCAGGACAGTGTCAGATAATAAGCATCTAAGGGCCATATGAAGATCTTGGAAGACACAATTCAAGTGGTCCACAAGTCTGTCTTCCGTACTTGGAGTCCTGTGAGGGGAAAAAGTATGATGACTCAATATTAGGAATCATCTTCTAGTGTTAGGTCAGTTTCAACATAGAATTGACCAGCGTGTGAAATATGAGTTTTCTTTATGCGAATTTTTCAAGGCAAGTCTAGGTGAGAACCTGCCCTGGATCCTGTGAAGCGGAGACCCAAATTAGGTAATGGTGGTGATGGGTGATGGGGAGTACAGCGTGAAAGAACCTAACCTTTACACACTTTTGGAAATCTGAGATTCTAGGATGACTTTGCTATTAATCTTATTTGATGCCTTAGCCTCAGGTTTTATGCTTGACATATAGAAAATTTTAAAGATAGATGGGGCTGCTTTTTAGGTAAGAGAAAAAAACAAGTTTTTTTTTTTTAATTTTATTTATTTATTTGAGAGAGAGAGAGAGCACATGAGAGGGGGGAGGGTCAGAGGGAGAAGCAGACTCCCTGCTGAGCAGGGAGCCCGATGCCAGACTTGATCCTGGGACTCGAGGATCATGACCTGAGCCGAAGGCAGTCGCTCAACCAACTGAGCCACCCAGGCACCCAGTTTTTTTTTTTTTTTAACGTAAGGGCAGCAATAATGATCTATTTTAGTGCTATTTATTTTTATGCTTTTTTGTTTAAGGCAAGATTATAACATAGTGTTTAATCCATACAGGAAGTTAAGGGTTTGCAGGTGTAGGGTTGCTGGGTCTAGAGCAAGTTGTAGAAAGAGAATATCATGTGGGATCTCTTGGGATCCTGATTCTTCCAGTAGGAACAAAAACAGGACTTTTTTTTTGCCATGTGCTGGGGGGTTCATCAATTCTGTGGAATAGCTTGGCAATGGATAGATCTCTGGGAATAATGAGTCAGGGCTTTTTTTATGACAGGTGACAGAACACAAGTGAAACTGATCTAAGGAAATTAAGAGTAAGGGGATTTATTGGCATCAGGGGTACAGACAAATTTGCCTTCTGAGGCTCAAAAGACATCATCCTCTCTCCCTCAGCTTTCCTTCCCTTGAAGTTGGTTTTCTTCAAGTGGTGGTACTTGTTATTAGTGGCTTATTAGTTATCCTAGTTAAAAGAGCTGCTTTTTTCTGAACTGATTCAGCAAAAGCCCCAGATGGCGTTCCGGGACCAACACACCCATCCCAGAACCAATTACTATGGTCTGGATATGTTGACTGGTCAGTTCTGGGGAGTGAGGATGGGAGGTGTCATGATCCTGAACCATAAAGACTCCTGGGCAAGGGGGAGGGGTAGTTCCCAAAGGAAAATATAATTCCTGTTAATAGAGAAGGGGGAGAGATGGATAATACTGAAAGCACATAAAATTCCAAAATAATGGATATCCATTATTTGGGGGAGGGGGCAATGTTTGGGAGTTTCCTCCACAGGGCTATAGTTGTTAAACCGTAAAATCAAGTACATCTTTTCCCCCACATCTGGATAGATACCTTGCATAGTGGGCAATAGCCTTACATTTCGGCTTTTTCAGTCTTTCCCCTAAGTGGGACTGAGTCAATGAAGATGCTACAGAAGAAGTAAATAGAAAGCTTAAAGTATAAATACAGTAATTTTTTTTTATTTTTTTAAGATTTTATTTATTTATTTGAGAGAGAATGAGAGAGAAAGAGAGCATGAGAGGGGGGAGGGTCAGAGGGAGAAGCAGACTCCCTGCTGAGCAGGGAGCCCGATGCGGGACTCGATCCCAGGACGCTGGGATCATGACCTGAGCCGAAGGCAGTCGCTTAACCAACTGAGCCACCCAGGCGCCCTAAATACAGTAATTTTTAATTTAGTGCCCTCTTTAGGCAAAGTAGCTCGGAGCGCTTCCAATAATCCATTTTTAATTGTGACCACACCCCGTATAGGTGACGAGTATTACCGTCTTGCCCTTGCAGTTGGGGAAACCGAGGCATGACCCTCCTCCATTCAGTTTTTCGGTAGGATTTAGGAAGAGTCCTGCTTGCATGACCTCAGAGGGTCTCCTCCTTCCTCCACGGCGCCTCTCAGAACCCTCATGTCCTTCGGCGTCGCAGGAGAGCAGCTCGGGATCCTCCGCAGCCTCGGGATTCGTCCTCCGCCCAGCAGCACCCGCCCCGCTCTCCCGCACCTTCCTCAAGAGGTCCAGCTGGCCAAGGTCTGGCTGTCCCTCCCGTCCTTCCCCCGGCCCCCCGCCTCCCTTTCCCCAGTCCCCGACGTGCAGGAAACCCCCAGCCAAGTGCCCCGCAGGAAGGTGCGGGCAGATGCTGCTCAGGCGTCTAGAGGGAGGGGCGCCGGCGCCGCCAGAGGTGAGCTGGCCGGCCCTGCGCTCTCCCAGGGCCGGGGCGCAGGGGCTGGTTGGGGCGGGCGCCCGGGCCAGCCGGGCAGGAGGAAGGTGGCGGCGGGAGGGAGGCCGGGCGACGCGGCGGGGAGCGGCGAAAGGGGAGACGCCGGCGGGCCGGCGCGCTGCTCGCGGGCGACACCAGGAGAGCGAGCGCCAGGGAGCCGAACGCTGCGGAGTCACTCGGGGACGCGCCGCGCCCCGCCGGGGCCGCCGAGCTCGGCTGTAAACCTCCTCGCGGCGCCCGGACCCCCGGCGCCCTCTCGAGCGCGGGCTGGAGACATGGCTTCGCGCGTCCCCGCCGCGGCTGGTGCTGACTCGACACAATCGGCGGGTCGCGCGGGGGGCGCGGCGTAACCCGGGGGTGGGCGGCTGCGCGGAGCCGCCGGAGGAGCTCCGAGTGTCGCTGGGAACGAAGGAAGATGCCAGTACAAAGGCAAGCGGAGACCCAGCCCGCTGCGGAGGGCGGCGGGAAGAGTCGCTAAGGGGCGCGCCGAGCGCGCTCTGCTCCTGCGCCGCGTCTCTCCCGTCGCCGCCTCAGGTCGCGGGGTCGGGGGCGGCAGCGCAGGGTCCCTTGCCGCCCTTGGCAGCGGCCGCCGCAGCCGGGAGCTGCATGCTTTCCCCCGGCCGCCTGCTTTCCCCGCGGCG